CTTGAAAGGATAACACACACACACACTTATTGTTCACAGAACTGTTCTCGAATTTATGTGTCGTTCTATTGCTACAGAGGATTCGTTTTATCAACACTGCCTGATCCATTTCATCCTCATAGAAACGGTGCTTTAAGTTATAATAAGAATAGTTCAGAGGAGTTCATCATAATATACCGTTGTCTAATCTGGCCCTTGTTTTATGGTCGAGGGAGCAAACGAAGAGGAGATTGCAGCATGGGATATAAAAGTCATAACAGAAGAATCCAATAACGAATAGACAAAAAAAAAAGAAAAAAGGGGCAAGTTCGTTTGTCACAAACGAAGTTCAAAAGGGCAAAAAAAACAATAATGGGCAACGAAAAAATGGCCGTAGCTCGAAAAGGCAGTCATAACATCAGAAGGCGGTAACATCACGCCCCGAGTTTGAAAAGGGCGGTTGTAGCACACTTTCTTCTTTTTTTTTTTTCGTTTTTTTTTTTCCGCGATCGTGGCCAATCTGGGGTGTGGCAGAGACATGTCAGCCGTGGCCAATTTGGGGTGTGGCAGAGACATCTCGGCCATGGCCCAATTTGGGGTGTGGCCGAGACATCTCGGCCATGGCCCAACCATGGGGCCTTTTTTTTTTTTTTTTTTTTTTTCAGCCACGGCACGGCGCGGTGCTACAACCGCCCTTTTCAAACTCGGGGCCTGATGTTACCGCCTTCTGATGTTATGACTGCCTTTTCGAACTGCGGCCATTTTTCCGTTGCCCATTAGTGTTTTTTTTCCCTTTACAGTTTGAAAGTGTGCTACTACCGCACTTGTTTCTAAAAAAAAAAAAAAACTTCCATGTATGTATCCCATCGCTGAGCATGATGGAGCATATCGCGTCTCGAGATATTCCTAACGTTCAATCCATTCGCTTTGGTCGTCTGACCTCTCTCAAGATATTCCAAAGGCCAGGGCGGAAGTCCCACGAGATGCGTTGAGTTTCCCCAACGCCTGAACGCGGACGTGTTTGAGGCTATGTGCCAGCGACTTCCCTCAATGCAATTTCTGGACAACTCCACAAAAATGTCCCAATTCAGGCGTTGAGGAAAGTCAACGGCCAAATTCTGTGGATCGTGCCAGTCTGCCATTCTGACAGGATCAGTGTATGAGTGTGTTTGTGCAAGGGGGAAAAAAAAAAAGAAAAAAAAGGAAAAAAAAACAAAAGAACAAAAAAACAAAAGAAGAAAACAAAAGATAAAAAAAATAGGCGCGGAGTGCCATGCCATTCTATGCATAGGAACGTGGGCAGCATTTTGCATAACATCCAGGGATCCCACTCACCCACCACCCCTTTTCATAAATCCATGGAGAAGGTGCGTCCAATTAATGATCCACCAATTGCATAAAGTGAACGGACAGGATATTCCGTCCTCGCATTGGATCAGGCAAGCACGCCATGTATGTGGCCAACTTTTGTATTTCACTAATTCTTGTTTTTTTTGTTTTTTTTTTGGGATACATTGATTTATTTATGCATAGTTTCCCCCATGGTTCACTGACAAAGACAAAGGACATCGCATGAGACTCCAACGTGCATACCTCAGGAATGTTGAAATGTTGAACCATGTTCTATTCCAGACACAATCAGATGAGCACAATGAAAGAATTATGAATTGCATGTGCCCGTTAGATAAGTTAGTACGTGTGAGGGACGTTCATGTTGACGGAGGAAAAAAAAAAAAAGAAAAAAAAAGAAAAGGGTGACTTCATTAGAGTCACAAAAACGAGTTATAATTGCACTATGGGGCAAGATAACAGTTTGCAATAATTGCACTTGGGGCAACCTACCTGGCCAGAAAGATGGGTTGTAAACTTTGCCGGATCTGCAATTCGAAACTGTACGTTGGCTGTGACTCCGGCGTAGTTTCCCCAAATTTGTAAAAGAGAAAACTACGGTGCAGTCAGGGATTGAGTTTGTAATTGCACTCGAGGCAAAAGGGCCGGTAATGCTGAATGTATATGACCTACGTTTCGGGTCCGGTGGGGTCGCGTGGGGGTGTGTTGTATTCGCGGGACTGCCTGAAGTGCAATTACAAACTGTTTTCGTGACTGCGCCGAAGTTACCCCTTTGTAAAAACATAATTTCGCAAATCAGAATCAAAAATAAAAAGGTGGTGTAGGAATTGAAAGCCTGCACTGTCAACGCGACAGCAGTGTCAGGCGGCAGGGTGATATTTGGGCATTGCTGCAGCTCACGGCATCAGACAAAGTGCATTCAACGGCGTGTGTTTTCCGCTACCTGACGGACTGTCAAACGACGCACCTAGCCTACCCCACCCACCACATTCCACTAGTCAATCTTCATTACAGACGGGGGGGACGAGAGGGATATCACGCATCTACCCTACCCCACCGTCCAGATTCCAACAGTCAGTAAGGGATGGACATTGCAATAGGTACAGCCAGTCACTATAAGGCAGGCTGATATTCAGGCATGGCTGCAGCTCATGGCATCAGACATAATCTAAGGGCAGGTATTTTCCACACGCATCTAGCCTACCCCACCGACCAGAATCCAATATTCGATCTTCATCACGGACAGGGGAGGAGCTGGAAAACATGCATCTAGCCTGCCCGACCCACCAGAATCCGATATTCCATTTTCATCAAGGGCAGGGGAGGAGCTGGAAAAGACGCATCTAGCCTACCCCGCCCACCAGACTCTGATATTCCACCTTCATCACGGAGAGGGGAGGAGCTGGTAACCCTGCATCTAGCCTACACCGCCTATCACATGCCAATATTCAATATTCATCACAGACGGGGGACAAGAGAGATATCATGCATCTACCCTACCCCACCGTCCACTTTCCAACAGTCATTAACGGGTGGACAGTGCAATAGCTACCGCCAGTCACTATGCCGCAGGCTTATGTTACATGCAGCGCGTGCACACACGGGCCATTTTGCAGGCCCGACGGTTTTCAGGCCAAAAGCCTGAATTTCAGGCCGAAAGCCTGAAATCCAGGGCTTATAGGCCCCATGTCTGTTCAGACCGAAAGCCTGACTTTCAGGGCCTACAGCCCCTGCGACGGTTCAGACTAAAAATGGTAATAGCATTTTTAGCCTGGACCCAAGGGCCATTTTCGGTCGTTCATCAGAACGATCGGCCCTGAAACTCAGGCACCGAACCAGGGTTTTGGGGAACAGCCTATATATAGACTGTTCCCACGCCAGCCTCAGCAGGCTGCTGCACGCCAGC